TAAAAAAAATTAGTGTTGTTTTATATTTATATTTTTTAATTTTTATTCACTGCTTTTTGCTTTCTTTCCTTCACTTCCACCAGCACTTTCACTGGATAGAGTTCGCTTGGTAAAATATCTATCCAAAGAGGTTTGGCTTTGCCTACTTTTTAAAATGTTTCTAAAATGACTTAGGCATATGACATTACTCTGAGCAGCAATACAGCTGGTGTGAACCTTTTTGGGATGTTTCTTTTCAATAAAATCAGTCACTTTCTGATAATACCTCAAGATTTCCTTTATCGAGCGAGATCCTTCCATGACAAAGTAAACACGCGAACTGAGACCAATGAACAGAAGTGAATAAAAAATGGCGCTGCAAACTAATGTAACGTCGTATGGTGAGTTTTTGTTCGTATCGTGGAGCAAAAATATGTTCGAATTTCATGTCGGATCCTGAAAATTTCGTATTCTGGGGCGTTCGTATCCTGAGGTACCACTGTATTATAAAAATAGCAGATTGTCATTGGCAATGACAAAAGAGTGGAAACAGCATTTGCACTTGTTCGCAGAAAGTCCATTGTTTGCTTCACGTAACTGCCGAATGGAAAGTCCGTTGTTTGCAGCCAGTCCGTTGCTCGAGTCACATAACGGCCAAACAGAAAGTCCATTGTTCGCAGAGTCCATTATTCGAGGCATATGTTACACAAGGCACCACTGTATCTGAGAACATTGTATTGTACATTAAAACATTGGAAAACTATTCAAGCTTCACATTTGCTCATGAAAATTTCTCAATGCATGCATCTTCAGTCACATGGCACACATCCAAACAATACTCAAATTCTTCCTACTCTTGCTACAGCATATCTTTATCACTCCTCTCATAGCAGCCACAATTCAGCTGTGGAGCAGCTCTTATATATTATTCATGTTGCACAATAATGAGTGAAGAACATAAAACACCTTCACTATTGCAGTGTCACAATTTTCATTTATAGCACTTCTTAGAGGTAATAGACAACATATTTGAATGCATATGGGAGATGAAACTCTGACAGTTACTATATTGACTGGTGTATGTCTCATTCTTCTCAGGTAATAATAAAAATAATTAGAGTGCTTTAAAATGGTAGCATTCTTTTTAAAATACCTTATAATTAACAATAAATATTTGTAACAATTAAAAAGCATCAAGCTGTCATTTACTCTCTAATTGAAAACTGATAACTATTATATTATTATATAAACACAACTTACATTTATAATTATGAATACTTAGGGTGGATCTGTAGATCGTAGAAGAATATGATTATCAATGATTTGAAAAAGTTCTGGAGGAGAGGGTATTCTGCCTGTTTCAAGTTTGGACCAAACTGGTACATCTGAAAATAAATATTTAAATTATACTAACTTTTCTCTACTCAAAATAAAATGACAGTCTGTTTCTTTTATTGAATGCCATACTACTGATTTCAAATTAATGAGTCTACTGTATACTTGTATAATATAGTGTGTTCCTTAAATGTAGAACCATAGAAGTAATGTTGATATTTGTTATTTGTTCATTCTTTTTCAGGTAAGCTTCCCACCAAAAAGAAACAAATTCGAGTCATTTTAATGTTGGAGACCTGCAGTAAGTGAGAAAATGCCAAAGAGTTTAATAGGCTGTATTCAGACTTCCCACACCTACTCACAACAGCCTGGATGAGCCTGTTAAACTTTTCAGTGATTTCTTGCTGATTATGGGTTCTCAGTATAAAAATAATTTGAATTAATTTCTCCTTAATCAGTGCTATGCTTTACCTGTAAAAGAAAATAAACAAAAATCAACATAACTCCTGTGCTTCTGGACAGTGACCAGTCAATTCTTCCCCAAGAAGTTGATTATTAGATAATTCTTCCTGACAGTTCATCCACAAGTAGTTCTGCCTCAGACAATTTATTCAAAATTTTATTCAGAGAATTTCTCTCTCTAAAAGGTTTTTTTGAGAATGTTTTCTACCATATATTTTTCTCCAAATATTTTTTCTTCAAAATATTATTTTCCTAAATAATCTTTCACAACATTATTTGTTTAATTATTCTTATTAACAAATTGTCATCAAATACTGAATGCCATTAGAAATAACATCACAATATCAAATAGAGCATAAAATTAGATACTGCGTTGAATCAGCTATGTAGGATACAGCATCATCATATGTACCTTTTTGACTTATATAAAAATTAATAATAATAAATTAAATGCAAAAAAAATGTATATATAAAATTTTCCTTTGGCAAACTCTTGGTACAGTTTTGAATACTACTACTAAAAATGAATTTGTAATTATAAAACTAATGAAATGATTCATTCTAAATTAAATGTTTTTTTTTAAATCTTTCCACATTGTAGACAATAAGACAGCCTTTCTAGCAAGTCCATTATGGGTTCAATTAGGCCCATAATAGGGCACTGGATAGTGAGGGACAAATCTGACATATCCAGATGGACCATCCCTGAAAAATTCCGTTTTCAACTCATCTGAATTCAACTCAAGTCCTCCAGAGCAGTAGGCTGTCACCTTAACCACCTGGCCTTACATATTACATTCTCTGGAAATAAGTTGCATACATAATCATCTCTAAAATTTGTCTTAGTTTGAAGTTGTCTGCAGGAAGAATTATAAAGATATAATTACCCAAAGAATAATGGAAACAATTGTCCAAAACAATATTATGAAAATTACTTTTATAAAATGCAAGGAAAAATTATCTGGAAAAGAACTGTTCAAGCTGACTGACTGGAGAAGAAATGTCAGTGTATGGAATATCTGAAGATAGCTTGCCCAGAGAAAAAATTTGAGAAAGACCTGTCTAGGAAAAACACTGTCAACAATAAATTGTCTACATAAAAATTGACAGTAAACTGTTCTAGTGTATGGGACGTCCTGCATATTCTGCAATTTTGCATATACAATGGTCCAGTATAATAATAAAATATAATCCAATCTTTGAGCATAATAATAGGTAAATATTTTAGAAAATCATGGAATTATTACCATTATGATAACAAAAGAATGAACATGAGGTAAGATTCCTGGGTGTTTTTTAAAAATAATTTTAACAAAAACAAAAACTTAGTAAAGTTTATAATTACACATCATCATAAACATTATTTTCATTTTTCCTAACTTATTCTTTCCTTCTCTTTACATACTTATAAAAATAAACACAAGCCATTCCAGACTTAGACTCGAGTTCCACTCTTAAATCCTTGTCTTAAATTTAACATAAAAAATAATGATGATAAAAGGGTATGAGTCCCAAGGCTGTACACAATCCATATATCATCTTATGTGTATAGATATTACAAGTGCTGCGAGTATACAATGTAATACAATACAGCATTGCTGCTCAAATATATGGCAATTCAAACAACCATTTAATATTTTAATTAAATAGTTATGGTATTTATTAATGAAGACTTACAAAAATTGCACAGGTAGTCAACTATATTCAAAGGAAACAAAAATCATACTGACAGAGTATTGCAATCTACATGTGGAGTTGATTTTATTTTTATTGTCTATTTTTATTTATTTAATTTATTATGAATTCACTTAACCTTAAGAACAAAACTGAAATTAGAACCTTGTCTTCAGTGTGTTACATGTTCAATACACATTATTGTGTTAAGCTTGTGAGTCATCCCATTTGAAAGGTACTGTAAAATTCAACAACAACAACAAGGAGTATCTCAATCAATTGAATCCTTTATGATTGTTTATACACACTCTACATTTTAATAATAATAATAATAATAATAATAATAATAATAATAATAATAATAATAATATAAAATTCTTCTTGTAATAATAATACTAAAATATTTTATATTATTATTAGAAGAAAAATTGTCACACATATATATTTTTAAATTTTGAAGAAGAAAATTAATGTTATTATAAGCATTATTTTCAATTAATTGTTAAATCATATTGAATTTTTCAAAATAATTTACCATTAAGTGCAATTTCAAAAGCTCCTGTGGAAACCAATTGACTTTCAAGTGCATTGGACAAAAAATATATCATCAAACATGCATGCATCTGTAAAATAAATTAGAAATTATGTAAATACTTATAATATGATCAATGAAAAAAATCTATGTTAATACATACTTTGTTCTCAGTCATCCAAACATAAAATTGTGGAGTAGTCATTCCTAAAGAAGGAAAGGGAGTAATGCCCCCCAAAATTAAGGCAATGAATACAAGTTTAAATACATTAAGAAAATGAGCAAAACTCATTCGAAGAAATGGAGGCGGATACGTGTCTCCCGAAACAGTTAGGTCCGGATACTTTTCTTGAAGTATGGAGGCATACTGTTCAAAGACACGACGATAACCTCATGAATAACTGAAAAATAGTAACAATAATAAATCTCAAATTACATAATTCATATAAATTATTTAAATTTAAAAATTAATTTTTCAATAAAGTTAAGATTAAAATTAATAACACTCATGCATATTATTTCAATTATGTAGCTTTGTAATAAATATTACAGCAAAAATTAATAATATACTGTCACGTACAACATTCAAAATGATACACACTAAACTGGAATATATTCATATGGTAAAGAGAAATCTTCGACTTATGTTTTATACATTATATAAATGTTGAACTTAAAATGACATTTACTTCTTAAAAAAAAAAAAAAAAAAGAATTACGGTATTTTTATAAGAATTACAGCTAAATATTAAATATATTGAAAAACAAGGAGACACAATTTGATGATACTACTCAGTTGATATAAAACAAATTGAAATCCATATATACAGGATGGTCCTAAAGTCCAATGTGAAATTTTATACTTCAATAACTAAAGATGTATAAATGTAAAATGTAAAACTATGCAGAGAATAATAATTAAAAGACTAACATGAAGTTCATGTAATAATTCTATCAATGCAGGACTTATTTATTTAATTTTCAGATTCCGTTAGTGATCCTAAATGGTAACAGAAAAAACATCAATAAACTATTCAACTAGTTAATTAGATAAATACAATAACACTCTTAAATAATTTTTCAACACTCCACAAACAATAATTTCCACTAAAACCTGACAGTAACAAATATCTATGCTCAAAATAGGATTTGAACTTTGCCTATATTAACCTTTAATTCTGCAAGCCAAAGCAACAATTTACTTTTTATTCCACTGTCACCATTTACAGTCACTAACAATCTGTAAATAAAATAAAATTAGTTCTACTTTGATAGAATTGTTATACTAAAAGCTTCATAAGTTAGACTCTCAAATAGCATTTAATGTACAATTTTAATTGCAAGATCCAGAATATTTGCCTATTATATAATTTGTTTTTAACTTTAGAAGGAAGTCTGTGAAAAATGTCTGTCAAAAAATGAACAATACTTCTGTGTGAAACAACTCAACATTCTGATGACACTAGCACATTCACATACACAGAACACATACAGTTGATAATCTTAGGGTGCTCTTTATTCTGCAACTCTCAGTATCAATATTGCAAAACTCTCCCAGGATACTATTGACTATGGACATTTGCATGGGAATAAAAACACCAAAGCTGTATAGGAGAAAATTTGATCAGCATGATGACTTGTTCATAAAATATCTTATTCCATAATTTTTTTGACTCTACAGTTTCAGCAAGAAGTTAGAGAGAGCTCATGATGAAGAACATACATGACTATGTCAAAGACATTGAATCGATTGACAAAGAATTTACTGACATGGAAAATCCCCCCCAAAAGTGTTCATACAGAAATCGAAGTACCACCACTTGGTAGAGTTTCAATAAAAGAGCACTTAACTAGTGCATGGAAGTGAAAAAATTTTGGAGTAAGCTACTTGATATTTACACTGTAAATAAAACTTAAACTGAATTCCACTTGTGATTGTACTGTACAGTACTTTTATTAAAATACAAGGGAGTGCAACTGATGTGACATCATTTTGAAGAGTGGTTTGAAAAATGTGACAAAGGGGGTTTGAATTCACAAAAAACAGTATGACATTTATCAACCCCTCATTTGTTAAATCAGATTTTATGTAAACTCTTTCACACAGGCTATCACAGGGGTGTCCAACAGTTTTGCCCCTGGACCGAATTGGAAAGAAAACATTTTCCACGGGCCAACCCAGAGGCTGCCCTAGGAAGATTTTAAGATGGTGCAAGATCTCATTGAGGTGTCACCCCCATAGAGACTGAATTGTAAATAGAGATTACAGATACATTTTTTCACACAATCATGCTTTATCAACATTCTATGCTGTACTTACAATGAGATTACAATGTACTTACAATGGAGGGTTAACTCTAAATGCACAGTGAGTTGTTGACCTTTTTTTTAAGGTGTCAGAATTTTTCATCGAGCTACTCGGACTTCATAATATTGAAAGATTGATTGCAGGCCACATAGATTTATTAGACGGACTGGATCTGGCCTGCGGGCCATATGTTGGCCATGCCTGGGCTATCAGGAAATCAGTGTATTTTTTCACTACAGTATAAATTTGAGTTGCCAGCTAATTGCAAGTTTCCAAATCATCCATCTTTATTTGGTTTTCTCCCATGTGAATTATATCAAAAACAAGTAAGAATTGCCTAACTCAATGTCATCTGGAATAATGCATCCAAATTACAATGATGCCACATACACCTGATTTGACAGCAATACNTGGCAAATGGCATATTTTAAACTTACTTCATTAAATTTAAAATTTAAACTTTAAAAAAAGATAGCTCCATCACATCACTTCTATAAGGAATTTAAAAAAAAAATCTTTCTGTACTGACCATGTGATATTCTACTATCCAATCAGAAGTAATGATCTAACGAGACTGTTATTTAAAAAGTGTTATTGCACATCTCGCTAATGTACAGTACATACAATTTATTTTTGTTTTAACAACATGCAATTAAAAAAACTCACTATTTTGTCAAAAAAAAAAAAAAACCTAGGAAAATGTGAGTAAAATTGGTCAGGTAAATTCTAGATCTAAAAGAATAACCACCACCAAGACCACTGAATGAAGTCTGACTTGAGCAACATCAAATAAGAATGGCTTTGCCAAGGGCTGCAGATACAGCATCACAACATCAAGCTCAAGTAAAAAATACTTAATTTGTAAAAATATTAGCAACTATTCTTGAATTTCTTGAAATATCTACTCTTCTCAATTCTTCAATCTCTATTTTCTCATAAAAAGTATTCCATCATGCTTGACAGAAGAATTTCTAGTATAAAATAGCTAAGTAAAATTTAAAAGTATAAAATGTATATTTGTGATATTTTTATATTTTTGAAAATGTAAATACTGTCAGCCAAGTTTTAATTTTTATTAGTGATAAATAAAAAACTGAAAATATTTCCTCAATTAAGGTATTCTTTTTTTCATATTATATATCTATATAATAAAATTCTCAATAATCTGCACTTCAAATAATTCAACATAAAAATGGTGTTATTATTACTCACATGATACATTAACTTGTAAAAATTAATATTGACGTCTAAAGCTAAACAAATGCATACTTAATCCGTTAAGTGAAAAGTCCGTTATACGAAATGCATTTTCCCATAGAAATACATGTTAAAACATATAATTCGTTCCGCAGTACTGTACCATGAAAAAAATGAAAATGGAGCAGTCACCAACTATGCCGGGTAGTCAGATGTTGTGAGGAGGAGGTGGAGGAACACTTTCTTCACACATTCATACAGATACAGACTTTTTACATATTGCAGCAGGTCTCTTTTTGTTGTTTTTTAATCGAAGTAAGATTCAGGAAAGGCTACCGGAACATGCAGGGTCAGTCCTCTTGTTACATCCTTTGTGTTTTGGCAGCTGGCTTCTTGAAAAACATGTCCAAGGTGGTCTGTTTCTCTCTCTTCTTCAACACCTGTCAGAAATGATGGGCAAGGGTGTCATTGCAGAGATCATTGATTCTGTTGGCCTCAGCTCTGCTCGGATAATGAGTGTTGGTAAACTCCTGAACCTCTCCCCATTTGACAAGGAAGTTTTTGTCAACTTTCACTCCTTCTATTGGAAATTACAGCTGTTTTTCATTTTCTGTTTCATAATTACCTTCTGAAAACAAAACCATTATTAATTTTAATTATAAGGCAATTATTGTAGTATATTTTAGACTATAAATACAATAATGTTTTTAATCAATCATTATCCAAATTTGGAATGATAATGGATATCAAATGGATGAAATTTTAAATGTGATAAGGTAGTAATTACCACTACTTCCAACTCACATAATTTTAAAAAATCATAGAATTATAGTAAAACAATCTGGTGTTAGCCAGTTTATAATTATAGTACTTTAGTCTATTGATTGTTTATATAGTTATTAATTTTATGCACTACTATTCTGCTACTATACAAGAATTAACACAAGGATTGATATAAACCGTTTTAATAGAATGTTAATTTAGAAAAGTCATCCATAAAATTCAATTATTATTTCATCTAATGAACAAATGCAGGATCTTCCAAAAAGAACACTACCATTTAAAATGACTAATTATGTTCATTATTATCCGATAACATTATAATGTGCATTAAAACATTGGAAAACAGTCTAAGTTTTACATTTTTCCATTACAATTTGTCAATGTGTACACCAACTAATACACAAATTCTTTCTACGCTCGCTACAGCATATCCGTTGTCACTCTTACCACTACAGCCACAATTCTACGGCTCTGGCAGATTAAGTTTTGCACAATAACAAATGACTCTGATTTTGAAAACTGCAAAACACAAATGTCTTCTCTGTTGCAGAGTCACCATTTTCATTTATGGTGCTTCCTAGAGATAGTAGATAGCAATACATTTGAATGTGGATTGGGAGATAAAACTTTGATGATTATTCTATTGATTAGTGTATGTCACATACTTCTTAGGTAATAATTAACATAACTACAGTAATTCAAAATGGTAGCATTCTTTTTGGAAAACCCTATACAATTCATGCAATTTCCCTAAAATGGAATGCAAGATCAATTATGTTCAATGTTTAAAAAATACTGCTATATTTAGACCAGATAAATATTATGTTGAAAGTAGTAAACTATTTTCAGAAATTTCTAATTACTAGAATATTTATAAATAGAACAAAAAAACTACAGAATGTTATTTTTGTCATGGGGGAAAAAAAATAAAATTCTATCTGTTGAAATATATAAGATATTATTTATTAAAATCAGTAAATGTTAATATTTTTCTTTCTCGGTTAAATAAAATGTAAATATTGCAGTACTGTATCTGTTCTATAACAACTTTCTAGTTACATAGAACACCCAAACTCCAGCAGTAACATGCAATATTAATCTGAAAACATTT